TTTCATCACAAAAAATGACAATAATAGTGACAACAATATTTCTTCTCACAATTGTTTCTCATTTCTAGTGGTACTAATCAATTGTATTTTTATTGACAAAAAATGTTGTCATGAATATTCTCAACAAGAGTGACCAACAACTATTTGTCACAAAAAGTACAAAAAATTGTGACAACATTATATTTTGTCACAATTACATTTGTTCCCGCCATAATTATAATGCCGCCAAAATAAACATACATTTAGTGACAACAAATAGTGACAACGCATGTTACGACACTATTATTCTAGTAATAGTGACAACTTATTCGTAACAAATACTTACTCGTCACAATTACCATATATATTATCTATAACCAAAAAAAAAAAATATATATATATCACAATTACACCACACAATAGTGTCAATTTTTAATTTTTTTTTGGTTACAAAAAGGGTATTATATGTGACTAAATTATGAAGTGTCACAAAATATTTGTCACTAAATGTCTTTATTCCTGTTGTTCATGGAATAATTTGCCCATTGTGCACTAAGTCCTGCTCTTTAGTTTAGGTTGAGTTATAAATTGCAGTAATGGGTAATGGCTGCCAAAGAGTTTCCATCAGACACTCCAAAAGTAACATTTTAAAACCTATTCAAAGACCCAATCTTCATACTTGCCTTCAAACCAAATCCACTAAATCTAGAACAACCAATCAAGCTCTAAGAATCATGTTTGACACCAAGCCATGGTTGGGGAATATAATTTTCTTTGGCACAATCATTTCCATGACCTTGTACCACCTTCCTCTAGTTATAACCTTGTTAGGTATAAGTAGGAATTTTTCACAAAATATCTTTTTCATAGCTTTATCAATCATCAGGTACTAAGCCCGTCTTATGGCAATAGGCTTTCATCAACACCCATGTTTTGATTATACTAAAACGTTCAATCTTATTATCAATCTTGTCACTTGCGCCTCATTCTTTCTCTTGTCATAAAAATTCAGTTGCTAATATGTCCTTATTCATTTTATATATATATTCGCACCTTTATTATCTATTGACTTGTTTATGTTGACAATATAATAATCACAAGTTATGTATCATCTTATCTGCACTCTTTAATTTCTCTTTACTCTTGTCAACCATAAGGTTTCTCTATCAATGATCCGAGTGGTCTCTCTTATTTTCTTGACATTGAAGTTCAACCCTATCCATGTGGTATCGTCTTGACTCTTGAGTAATGAAAATATATTGATGATATATTGACTCGTGCCCACATGAATGAGCCGAGTTCTATTCAATCTCCATGCCTCTTGCTCTAAACTAACTCAATCTCCATGCCTCTTGCTCTAAACTCTCACTTTATTTTTGCGCATTTATTGATAATTGTACTAAGTATTAGGCATTAGTTGGGACTTGGGAGTCTTCAATAGTACCCATATATCCTAACATTGTCTTTGCTATGAATAAAATTCCTCCATATATACATCATCCTACTAGCACACATTGGTGTGCACTTAAGTATCTCCTAATAAGGTGCTTACAAGATTCTATCAACATTGGGTATGTTTTACACCGTGATTTCCTCATATTTATGAATTCTCCTTATTTTTTTGGTACATCTGAAGCTCTCACATGAGAGCGTTATCTAACACGGAGACTAGGCATATTGTGCGCATCCGCCCCAATTCAAGTAAATCATTCAATTCCGCTGGAGCGTTAGCTAGAGTGAGCTAGAGTGCCCCAATCGATCATCTGACCCAGGTTCGCGAGCCAATCTGCACAATTTACAATTATCAGTAAATGCACAAAAACAATATGCATTCTCCTTATATTTATGCATTTTCTTATAGAAACTAGATTGGTTAGTAATAAGGATGATTATCAACTATATATTACTACTTACTTTGTTTATCTGTGATGCAATCCTATTTTTTGGAGTTTAGGGCCGGAAGGAATGCACAATTTTTAGATTATGTATGTACAAGCTTAGTAATAAGCTTTTGTTGTTATCATTGCCAAAATTATTTGGGTAACTAATAATTTGCTCAAAGAAATTGGTTTTTTCTCTCAAGTGCAACATAGTCATCTATTATGACAATAATGCAGGTGTAGTCTACCTTGGTGCTAACCTTGCGCTTCTTTTATGCTTGAAACATCTTGTTCAAAAAGAAGTTCTTTCTATTAGGCATATATCCACCGGTGATCAATTAGCTAATGCTCTAACTAACCAAGCCTCTTAGAATTCATTTTGACAAATTACATACAATTTTCACTGTCTCTCAACTAGACTAGTAGTGTATACAAGTCAAGCACTTGAAGATTAAGAGAATATGTATATAACAATTTATTCTACCGTAGTGTAAATGTTGCCCTTAATTTTCTTCTCGTATAGTATGAAAAGTGCAATATGTGTATCATTTTGAAAATTGAGAATAACATTTACACTACTAATAATTCAGACATTAATAATTGACATATTATGGAGGTGCATTAAATTACAATTTTTCATTATTATTATTATTATTTGGTTTCGTTGTTCTCTTCTGTTTCACTGTGTATTAGAAGAAGAAAAGAACGCACACACAATTGTAAATGAATAAATAAATAAAATAGAACCAAACTCCAATTGTATATCAGCTATTTATTAATGTTATTGGGAAGAAAAGTCACAGTCCAGATCCGCAAACCGTTCTCCAAGAGTATATAGCATTGTCTGTCTTGGTGGCTGTTTTAATTTACGAAAAGTCAAAAGATGTGTACGTTAGAAATCAAATTGTTATACCATGAATCATAGAGTCTACTTAACATTGTGAATTTTAATTTAAAAATTATATTTGTGCAATTAATAGACCTTGTGGTTTAATGGTACCCAGGTTGGACTCCCATATGGGAGGTTTGAAGTTGTGATTTTGAGCTTGAGTGGAGGCGTTATTGGCTCCTCTTTGTGTTTCAGTGGGTTGAGATACTACATTGTAATAGAGTCTAGGGTGATAGCAAGGCCCCTAATTTTTTAGGATCCAATTTTTTTAAAAAATAATTTATATATAATCAATTATTTTTATACTTAATAATTACTTTAGAACCTATAAATTGGTTTTAATTGTAATTGAAAATAAAATTCTAGTGAATAACTTGAAGTTCAAATGGATTTAGACTCAATTACATTAACTAAGATAAGACTATGTGGTCTAATGGTACTTGGGTTGAATTTCTATCTGGAAGGTTGTGAGTTCAAGCTTCAATAGAGGCGTTATTGGTTCTTTGTATTTTAATAGGCTGAGAAAGTATATGAACAAATACTACATTCTAATACCTATTTTTAATAAAACGATCCTGCATATTTGGTGTCTTCAACTAATAAATTGCGGCATATTATGCCGCTGCAATTAATATATTGTATCAGTAGTTAACATGCTTTTAATTTATTTACGAAATTATAATTTAAATATCATTTTAGAATGGGTGTTGCTATTTGCACCCCCTTTGACTAAAATGGGATATAAAGTACATTGAAAATCTAAAAAGGTGAAAAATTATAATAAATACATAAGTGGTGCAAATAGTCTAATGGGTGGTCAAAATGCTATTTGCACCCCCTTATTCAAACCACATTTATTAGATTTAAATAATAATTAATTAATTCAAAATTTAATTCATTAAAAAAAAAAAAAAAAAAAAACTCCCCGGTCACCTTCTCCGGTGAGAAGGCAGGACTGCCTTCTCACCGGAGAAGGCAACCCAAGTAGTTTCTACCCATGAGAAGGCGACCCACTGGGCTGCCTTCTCACCGGAGAAGGCAGCCCAGTTGCCTTCTTCAATGAGAAGGCAGTTGCCTTCTCACCGGAGGAGGTGACGCTAAGTTTTTTTTTTTTTAATAATTTAATTGTAAAAAAAAAATTAAAATAAATATTATTCTTTTGACCACATTAAATAATGTGCTGTAAATAGCAATTTGTAGTTAGCACCACCTATAAAGTAGTTTGACCTATTATGTAGGTGGTGCAAATAGTAAAAATGGAGGTGTGAATAGAATTTCCCTTTAGAATAGAGTCCATGATGAAAGATAGGTTGTATTCAATGATATAATTTGCGGTCAGAAATGACGTCTCTGATATAAAAAGTGACTTATTTTAATGTATTTTGATATGTTAGATCGCACAACTCACGATTTTTTAAAATAGTGTATTTGATTGTTTCAAGACCTGTGTCTCGAAGAGTGAAACATTAGTTTGTTTTACACTTCTTTTCTCTATATATATTTTTTGTTTATTTGAGATGCTTATTGGTTAGTTTGTAATGTAACTAACCAAAATTAAAAAGTAAAACAATCTACTGTTTTTATAGTCATTTTTAGTCTCTAACATTTCAATTTTAGCAAAAGATGCTCATTTTTAGCCTCAAATTTAAAATTAACAACATGATTTTTAAAAGTTTTTCGAAGTTCATTCCTCCCCAACTAATTTTTTTTTTTTTTTTTATTTTTTGAAAGTTACTGGCTCTATTACATTGTAGTATCTGTTCATATACTTTCTCAACCTACTGAAACACAAAGAACCAATAACGCCTCTACTGAGGCTTGAACTCATAATCTTCCAATTGAAAGTCCAACCCGGATACCATTAGACCATGTAGTCCTGGAACCAAGGAATGAACTTCGAAAAACTAATTAAAGTCTTATTTCATGTGAAGACCTTGTGGTCTAATGGAACCAAGGTTGGACTCCCTGCTCTCATATGGGAGGTTGTGAGTTCAAACTTGATTGTATTAACGATTAGTTGTTAACTGATTGCGTTAGTTGATTTGACCAACAAATAATATTAATTGCTTAGCCCTGCTAGGGCATAAAATCCCTGTGAATTCAAATATCTTGTAAAAGATCCTTGAGAAATAAGTGAGTACTTAAATTATTGTACCATTGTAATTTTTGTAATTTAATTATCTTTCCTCACAAGCTCCCCAAGCCAAGACGGGAGACGTGAAGGGTTCCTAAATTTAGAGTTCAAACTTATATATAGATTGCATATGCATTCTACTGCAGATTCAATAGACAAAGCAAGAGATGTTGAGAGTTTCAATGAAGCTAGCCTCTTTACTATGTGTTTTCATGGCTGCATCTTGTTAGTTATCTCTCCCTCCCTCACTTTCTCCTTTTCTCCATATTTATATACACACACACACACATATATATATATATACACACACATATACATATACATGCAGAATGTAGTGTCTTATGAATAGTAATAATGAGTGAGTTTTGTACATATATGTAGTTTTGGCATCGAGTTCAAGTGCAAGATTAGCTGAAGGAACAGAGAGAAAGCAGTTGTTCATGACTGGGCAACTTTGCAGATCTCATCATGACTGCAAAGCCAACAGCCTCTACACTGGAAACTTCTGCATCAACAAAATCTCTGAATCTCAAATCGGACATTGCGTTGGATTTGGTTCAACTTTGGGTAAAATTTTAGATTTAGTATATACCTTCCTCATTTTATGATCTATCATTATATCATTAACCATGGTTCATCTTATAAAGTAGACTACTGATATAAAATTTATTTTTAATACTTTCACTACTACAAAAGTGAACATAGAAGTATAACCTTTCACTACACTGCTTAATAGAAGTGTAGTGTATAGTTGAAAAAGTGCGGTGATAAAACCATAAATAAATACATGACAAAACATTACACTTTTATTTAAAAGGTGTAGTGATTTCTTTAAAAAAAAACGTGGTTACTTTCTGTTTCGCGGAAAGTAAATTCCTAAAAAAAATATATGTGCGACCGGTTCTGAGCATGTCTAACATGTGCGATCGCACAGGGCCCCCAATTTTTGGGGGCCCCATATTTTAAAAAAATATATATATGTATATATAGTATACATGATTTCAAGCTAAGTGCAAGGAGATTGAACTAATTTCTGAGAGTGTGAAATTGAGCCTAATTGGCAATTACTTTACCCCCCCCCCCCCCCCCCCCCCCCCAAAAAAAAAAGTACGTGTGTGTGTGTGTGTGTGTGTGTGTGTGTGTGTGTATACATTTTCTAATCCTTGATTCCCTTCCCTACTTTTGGCGGTTCCCAGTTCCTAAATCTCGATTGACAAGTACCATTGTTAATTAAGAATGACAATTCCCAATTCAAAATCTCAAAATAACAATTAGCATCTTCGACTCGGACCTTATGCTAATTAGCAATTACCATTATTTTTATTTTTCAATTCAATTCCCAAATCTCAATGAGGGTGATATATTGATAGAAATGAATTATATATTGAGCTAAAATTGTTTAGAGAGATTTTATCGAAAAAAAAAAGAGAGTGGCAATTAGTATATTGAATTCATTGAAATAGATGGGTTGTTTTCCAAATGCTACTATTGCCTCTGCAGAAAAGAGTTTTTCAAAGTTGAAATTGTTGAAATTTTACTTAGGATCAAGTATGTTACGTTGCAAGAGAGACTCGATGGAATAGTTTAATGTCCATTAAAAATGAGCTTTTAGAAGAAGTTAATATCAAAATTTTGGTGGATGATTTTGGGTCTAAATGTGCACCGCGCATGTCACTTTTTAAATGAAATTTTAGATATATTTTTATATAATATTTATATTTTGATACAAATTTTGGAGCAACTATTATTTATAGGAATAAGGTTCAAATTGGCCACTGAACTTAACCTGAAAGTGCATTTAGCTAATTACCTATTGGTAACCTGCTATTGCAGGTCACTTGGGACAAATTGCATGATTTTATAATGTTTAATGATCTAATTGTACATTTTTTTTCATTCAGTAACCTAATTGCACTTTAAGGTTAAGTTTAGTGGCAAATTTGAACCTTATTCCATATTTATATATAGAAATTACTTTTTTTTTTTAAAAAAAAAAAAGACTTCTAAGATATATTGCACATGGCCTCAATTTTTATTAGAATGGCTATATATATATATATATATATATATATATATATATATATATATATATATATATATATATATATATATATATATATATATATATAATTAGGTTCTGGTGCGGTTAAGGTGCCCAGGTGCGGTTGTGCGGTTTAATCTGGGCCATTCATCTCGCTTAAATCAACGTCCAGGATTACCAAAATTTTTAAAAAAAAAAAACGCGGTGGTAATTTTGTAATTTTTGCATCTAGGTCAAAATTAAGGTGAGCGGATCTGTGGTTAATATGCGTGAGGTTTGTGCGTAAGGTGCGTGAGGTTTGTGCTTAATGTGTGTGGGGTTGTGCTTGATGTGAGTAGTTGTTAAAACTTAAAGTCTGTGAGTTAATAATTAAAGTGCGTGAGTTTTGTGCTTAATGTGCGTGAGGTTGTGCTTAATGTGCGTGAGTTTTGTACTTAATGTGCGTGAGTTTGTGCTTAATGTCAATAGTTGTTGAAACTTAAAGTCTGTGAGTTAATTTTTAAAGTGCGTGTGTTTTGTGCTTAATGTGCGTGAGGTTGTGCTTAATGTGTGTGAGTTTTGTACTTAATGTGCGTGAGTTTGTGCTTAAGATCTAACACTTAAGATGCATGTTTCTATCACTTAAGGTGCGTCATTTTTAGCTTATGCTTCTTTCTTCCAGACACGCGTTTTTTTTTTTTTTTTTTTTTTTTTTTTTTTTTTAAATTTTCATTGATTTGAGCCGTTGATCTAAATTTGATCAACAGTTCAGATCTAACCGCACGGGAAGCCAGGGACGGAGCCAGAAATTCGGTTGAGGGGTGGCGAAACAATACAGACGGGTTCAGAAAATTTTTCTAGAAAAGGCGAAACGTTAAAACAAACGAGATAATTTAAAAATAAATAAATAAAATACCTAAGAAATATAATTGTAAATATTGTTGGATATTGACGAAAAATAAAACACATCGAAACTTTATAAAAATATTCATAACAAAATATGAAACATAATTAATAAAATAATTTGAATAGAAAACACATTTTAAATTACACATCTTATTATAGAGTGTGTGTGTAATATTAAACAAGCTATTAAATAAGAATTATTAAACAATGTTGATACTAAAATTTGAACCCTTAAACTTCATTATTACCAAGTTGTGCTCTACCACCTACTCTAACTCAGTTCTTATTAATATTTTATAGTTTTTTTATACTAATACTAAAACATGTACTATATATACATATATACATACAAATACTATATATGGGGTGGGGGTAGGGGTGGGGTGAGGGGGGCAGCCGCCCTCCTGCACCCCTCTCCCTCCGTCCCTGCGGGAAGCTATATCCGCACCTGAACCCTTCCCTATATATATATATATATATAGTTGCCATTCAAGATAGGCGATTTTGTAGCGGTGCCATGCCTGCTGCAAGTCTTAATTCTTGTGATTTTGTGTTGGGTTTCGTTGGCCTTATATTGTATCAGAAACAGAGCTGGAAAACAGCAAGTGCAAGAAAGAGAAGCACAAGAAGAAGAAGGAGAAGATGAAGAAGAAGAAGAAAAGCAAGGCAAAGCCCAGTGGTTGTGGAAAGTGTGAAACAGACGACGATTGCAGGGGCTGCCCAGTAGCAGCGGCATGTGAGAAAATAATTTTAGATGGCATGTGTGTTTGATATATATCTCCTATCATATCATTCACAACATTATATCCCTAATAATGATATGATGTCCATGCATTAATCCTACAAGAGATCAATTATCTGCCTGCATGCATGCTTAATTATGTAATATGTTGTTGTATTGCATGCAATGTTATGCATTGATGGTTTCATAATAACTTTCCTCTTTTATTGTTTCTTTGTATTGAATGACGAGCATATTAGTTTCATTCGTGTGGGCTGTGGCACTCATTCCTTCAGTAAAATTATATATAGGCATTCTCCGATCCTGTCACTTCTAAGATTGCCAACTGAAAACCAATCATCTTCTTCTTTATTTTATCCTTGCATCTGAGTTGTAATTTAGCACATTCCAACTATAGTTAACGACTAAATGTTACTATAGGTTAGCTGTGCAAACTTGAGACGGGCTACTCTTAAAAAAGTAAATAAATAAAAAATAAAACTAAAAACTAAAGTTTAAGTCAAAATCAGTAAAACTAGGGTTAACTTAGGTCACCCTATCTGCAATGTAGACATTGGCCAAGTACTGAACGAATTTCAATCTAGATAGCTTTGACCTCAAACTTTTCTCGGTTCCCGACCCTTTGAACTTTATCAAGCTTATTGCCATATTGAGTGGCAGTCTTCTAGGTAGCCCTTTCCCGACCTCCATTTGCCTCTCAACAAGAGTACTAGCAATATGATGCGACACCTAAGTGAAGATCCTAATTCTATCATAAAAACTAATTAGTTCACGAGTGGAGATTTGACCCCAACTTAAATATCATTCAATAAATTAAACTCTTCTGCAACTAATGTAAAATTGTATCAACGTAACCTACAGATACACATTTACATACCCTTTACAATCTTCTATAGAATTCAGTAAAATAATATCACATCATTTGTAATTTAACATTATTTTAACAAATTTGGCCCAAGTCTTATTGTGCTAGGAAGACAAGCATGCATGGTGACCCAAAATACACAAAGGAAGAGAGAGAAGAGGTTACCGGGACATAACCGCTGGGGGGCGCTGGCGACGCCCCACCGGCGCGACTAGTGAAGGCCACTGGCGAGTGAGAGTAAAATGCAGGAGTAAAAAAGGGGGGCTACCAGTGGGTTCGTGGGTTTCGAACCCACGCCATCTCGCATAACAACGCGCGTCCAAAACCATCAGACCACATCATCTCAAGTTTACCAAAGCTTTACAACTTATATTTATGCCTTACATCTTGGGCGGGCAGGGCAGATTCACTAGCAGGCCACGACCGGTCATTGGCCTGCCGGCGGGGTGTCTCACCGGCCACCTCAGGCCGTGGCGCGGCGGGGGCAGGGTGGTGCGCCCTCGGGCACTGCACCTCAGCGGCGCCCCTTTTTCCCGCAGGTGCGAGGCAGTGCGTTGTGATGTTTGGAATGGTGCGGTATGGTATGGAGGGGTAAGGTACGGCAGGGGGTTGGTAATCGACCCTTCAAGCTAGCGCATGGCTAGTAATGTGAGCCCATCGGACTTCCCATGGCATGACATGACTAGCGGGGACCATGCACCCTCGTCGCCCCTACTTGCTGGGGTGGTAGTGAGAGGTAGGAGGGGTGGTAAAGAAGGTGGGAGAGAGGGTGGAGATGTGGGTGAAGACATGAGGCATGCATGGGACACGTGGAGGATAGATACGGAAGGCTAGTTGATGTCATACACTTGTCAGCAATCCAAAAGGCCCTTCACACTATATAAAACATCCTTCCCTCCCTTCGATGGGGAGGATTTAGGCACAATAGGCACACTGCTCTAGTGGTCTCTGGTCTATTATTGGGCCGTTATTTTGAACCTGTACCTCGGACTTTTTTTTTTCTCCAAAACAAGGACTATTTTAGGCTTAGCGCCCCGGGTATAAAGCTATTGTTTTCCTACCCCCGTTTTGTATCTCTATACTCCGTTTATGGTGGACTCCACTGTTTAAAAAAAAAAAAAACAATTAATTCGTTATTTTACAAATTGTTTGATGATGTTTTTATCGTTGAATGAAAATTAGGCTATATTTATTTCAATTATATGTTGTTTTTTTTTTTGTTTCTTTTCTTTCCCTATTTTTTTTGATTCTCTAATTTTGTTTTAATTTTAAAAATATATTTATGTACACCTTTTTAAATTCTTTTTTTTTATTTTATAATTTTTCATTTCTCTAAAAATTATAAATACCCTTCATTTAAGAATCCTAGTATTACCCAACTAGGGATGACAATTTCAATCTGTCGCGCGGATATCCATCCGAATTCACCCCGCATGGATCGGGTTTTTTGGGTGATGGTGGGTGGTGGGTCGGGTGTGTCTTAAAAAAGTAAATCCGCGATGGGTCGGGTTGGATTCGGTTTCTATGTACAAAACTCGCCTAGAACCCCCCACTTGACCCACCATGTGTGTGTGTGTGTGTGTGTGTGTGTGTGTGTATATATATATATATATATATATATATATATATATATATATATATATATATATATATATATATATATATATATATATATATAGGGAGCGCTTCAAGTGAGAACTCATGTTTAGGTAGGAACATAAGAACTAATCTAAGCCTTTGAATCTCATCCCATCAATGGTTTATATTAATTAATCATTAATAAGGAGACCATTACTATAAGTAATTTTAAGGGATACTGGGGTAATTTTCAGCAGCCAACAACTAATAATTAATATTATATTTTAAATTATCCCAAGAATATAGGAAAAGTAGATGATTCAGGACTCTATTCTTTCTGCTATTCCGCGAACAACACCGCTGCGACAGGGACCTCTCCGACCAACCCCTGCGAATCTCTGCCTGACGTGTGCATCGTCGGATTTAGGAGAGAAACGCAGCCCACCGGTCATCGCCGACTGTTGAAGAACAATGGCAAGTGGTGAAAACCCAAGTAACATTAATATTTGTCCCTATATAACTGTGCGTACGTATAATTGGAATTTATTTGAATACATCCATTCGTGTTGCTGTGTGGAAGCGCTTACAATTTATTTGAATACATCCATCCATGTGTTTTGTTGACACTCTTGGTAGGGAATGTTCAACAAGAGTGGTCTGTACATTTGGCTGCCATCTTGTTATGATTCTGTCATTTTTGCTATTTGTCATGTACGTTATGGCACACACCAAATCACGCAAGTGCACAACATTGTCTTGTAACAATCTAGTTTACGTGAATTCATTGGGTCAGTATATTTGGTAGACAGTACGACTCAAACAACACAATCTAAGTGCACATTCAAATATTTTCCGTCTTGTTATACACACACTAATTCTGCATATTATGGCACACACTACGTTACGCAAGTGCACACCCCCGCCTATCATATCCACCAGGGTTGTGTCCACCTACGACTTAAGGTAAGTCTACATACGGTAATCACGAGTATAGAGAGTGGGATGTGTGCATGTACACGTATACGAATGTGTACACACAAATACCCCTGTGATAGGTTGGGGCGTGCATTTAGGCTATAATGTAGGCACATACGGGGTAATGAATGTGCCACATAGGCCATAGGAATCCTGTGTACATGCACACATCTCATTCTCTGAAGTCATGATTTTCGTGTATGCACTTACGGGCTAATGAATGTGCCACACTAACCACAAAAATCCTGAGTGCATGCACCTTGGTCCGGATGTTTGTGCCACATTGCTTAACCATATAAGTAAATAATGAATTCAATGATTCACAGGTCTTGACGGCTCATCAGGGAGTTCATGTGGGTGTTTGATGAATATTTCACCAGGACCAACGAGATACTAGACTTCAGAGCGTGAAGAGTCAATGAAGTCTTTGGTTGGGCAGCGCTTCTCAAATTCAATACATACATACATATATTTAGCTCATTCTTAATTAATATGTTTGGGAATGAATAAACGTGATACAAATTGATTTAGCAGACTACGATGTGCACTTGGGTTATGCTGTGTGTGCCATAATGTGCAATGTTACTCAATATATGACAACATGTAAGACAATACGATGTGATAGACTGCGGTGTGCATTTCGATTAAACTGTATGTGCCATAATGTCCACAAAAAATCTGTATATAAATATGTACAATAATGAAATAAAATAAATAAAATGAATAAAGAAGGGGGAGAAAGGAGGAAAAAAAAAAAAAAAAGCAATTCAGATTTGGACTTTGTATTAATACGAGAATAAACGTGTGCCTATTAGTTGTTAAGTGTTTGCCCTTAAAATAAGAATTGTATGCATAACGTGGATTTGATACTAAAAAAAGCATAACACTGTCAGTTTGTGCATGTATGCATTGCAAAGTGTCCATGTATGCATTGCAAAGTGTCCATGTATGCATTGCAAAGTGTGCATGTGTGGGCCTAGCGTAAGAACTTGTTCGTACGCATGTGTACATTTGTTTTTAACTGTGTGCCATTGCGATAAGAAGGGTGTGCACATAAACCTGACCAGTGTGCACTTGGGTTGAATTGTGTGTGTCAAAATGTTCAATAATCATGACAAAATCAATTCAAGGAAAATAGCTTGGTGTGCACTTGGGCTGAACTGTATGTGTCGTAATGTGCAATAATACTGACAGAACGGATCCACGAAAACCATCTTGATGTTATAGACTACAGTGTGCACTTGGGTTAAACTGTGAGTGACATAATGTGAAAAACGAGTGTGTATGAAAAGACATAGAAGAAGTATATATGTGTGCACTTGGGTTGAACTGTGTGTGCCATATTGTACAGTAATACTAATAGTATGAATACACAAAAGCCTGTTTGATGTGATAGATTAGGGTGTGTACTTGGGTTTACGAGTGTGTGCCACGATGCTCAAACAAACTGATACAGAAAATAGCGTGGGATTATGATGTGCCACACTGTATTTCACTATGTGCATACAGAGTTCGCACAAAAATAATCCACACAATAGCACATAAAGCACAGACTGTTGCACTCAACGTGTTTAAATTTCCAACATCATAAACAAAACACAGAAATGTTCATTAAAAAACCAAAAAATAACATAACACCTGAGGAATAAATTAGAGCAAAGCGTCAACCAATAAAAAAAAAAAAAAACAAAAAACACAAAAGATCCGATGAATAAATTCCAAACATCATGACGGTAAATATGTTCCCAAAGAACATAATCGATATGTAACAAATTGTATTGCTAAGTGTTTCAGTAC